TGATTCATTCAGGTTTTTCAATTAATCAGAAGCTAATAAAACATTTCCTTTAAATGCATATTTGTACCCTTTAATTGTATTTGATATAAAGTAAGCTTGACTGACCGTCCATGTTCTCAAAAAGAAATCACACTTGTCACCGGGACCTCACGATGCCCTTGCTGTGTGTTTTTCCACCTGCTCTCTTGCTGCACTTTGGCTGTGCTTTCGTTTGTCACCAATTGGACTTGTTAACTGACACTGTAACTACACAAAACAATGAGCAACACCTCATGCTCATAAATATTTTTTGCTGTGGGATTGCAAATCGATTCAAACCCACAGCATGTCGTTATGTAACTGTTCACATTTTATGTATCAGAGCGGGTCATCACATTAACCTGTGTCAATTGTTTTGTTTATTTTATAAGTAGTAACAGGGCTGAAAATCAAAAGCCACATATAATATAAAAACAAGATATTTATGAAAAAAAATAGTTTGAAGCAGATACTTTGATAATTGTGACTGCACAATGAACTGAGACATCATTTCTTTAGGGATTATTAAAGTATTCTGATTCTGACATAGTGTTGAACAGCTTAGTAAATCCTCTCAGTGCTTTAACAACAGGACAATTCAGAGTTTGAATAAGGGACTGGTAAAATGTTTCTGTTTCTCATCCTAGTTAAAGAAGTTTTGAACAAGGAAGGGAGTTTTAATCAAGTTAAGTTTGAAAAATGGGAGAAACTGATGCCTTTATTCCCTCTTGACAGTTTACTGGTACATGCACATGTAATGCTTCATCATTAATGCATAACTGCAGATTAAACAATCAATCAGTGGATTAAATCCAATGTCTTTGAAATCAGCTGCTTTTTTAAAATAAATGTAGCACTATTAATTTTTTCTGAAAAAATATAACATTTTCAGGGCTCAAAACACATTTAAGCTCTATTAACTAAATCAATTTTACACCCACTCCAAGTGTCACAATCAATCTCAATCTGCGGGCTAAATATGAACTAGAAGCTACATTTGAGGGAAATTAGTGAGACGGTCATGCTGTCTCATGCATAACAATAACAAGCACAAGCTGAACAAGAATTGAAGCAACAAATAGCCAAGATAACCACTGATCCTGAGACGTGTGAGAGCGAATTGCTCTAATAGTACTGCTAATACAGTACTATATGGTCTTTAAGATGAGATGGGGCCCTATTGTTCAAGACCTTGTATGTGATGATGTGATCCCTCCTCTGCACATGCCTCTCTAACTATGTCTCCATCTTGGTCACTGCTAATGTAAATCTTATCATCTTTAAGTCTATCACCAGCGTTAGTCCTTGAAAATTTACCATTATATCTGTCTCCCTATCATTCACACAGCTATTTTTTGATTCTACTATATACATCTCTTCTCTCCATTACATAGGTTGCCTTTCACCTGCTCCCTATGCTCACTACAGATCACGTAGTCTGTTGCCCTATGACAGCTGGGATAGGCTCCAGCCTTACTATAACCCTGATTTGGATAAGCGGAAGAAACTGGATGAATGAATCCTTTTCTTTTTTTTCCCTCTCGTTCTCTTTTTAGCTTGTTTTGCATTATGTTATGTAAAGCATGTTCCTGTTTTCAGTGCTTCCTTTTCTGACTTTCATTAACAAAATCCTTGATCTTCATTCCTTCAGGGAGCTGGTCACCATGAGTAAAAACAACTGCAGCATATTTAAGAACATCTTAAGAGAAATGTTCACATAATTGTGCGATGACAGCCTTTTCGTGCTCTGTGAATTTCTCTGCTTTGAGCACAATAAGAAAAGCATGAGGACCTGGAGCACACTCTGTAATACAGCTCAACATCTCGTGCTCCAACTTCTCAGACCTGCTTGGGTCAAAGAAACCAGGAGTGTCGATTAAAGTTAGGCTTCTTCCATCAACAGTCTTGGTCTCGCTCTGAGACAAACATGCGTTTGAGTCATTAAAATGATTAATCTTCAATCTGGTCTCGCCAAATATGGTATTAGCCAGACTGCTTTTCCCAGTTCCAGTTTTTCCCAGCAGGACAATCCTCCTTGTCTTTGTCACTGGAAAAAAAAATGAATAGATGAAAAAATCAGATCAGATTAACTCATTACATCTGCTTCCTGACATCTCTGATCAATTATCAGATTTCAGATCAAAAATGTATCAACCCAGTATCACAGCAAAGTATAGACATGCCAGACCACCGTGTCTACTTTACACAAGAAATCAGTAGTAAACAAAACGCATGTTAAGCACATTCAACGGTCCTTTATCATCAGAAACTATTAAACTGGGCGGGTAATATGTATATACATGTACATGTGAATCATTTCTGTTTAATGCTTTCCCACAATTTTCCCATTTTTAAATTTTGGTTTGAAATAAAAAAGCTCCCTCTGATGTTACTGCAACTTCTGAATGCGTGTTTTGGACATAGTGGACATATTATATATAAAGGATGGCCCTGTCTCAGCAAAATTTTGCATGAACATTGTAATGCAATAAATCTATTTTGTATGTTTTTACAAAATAGATTTATTGTAAATCCTAATTGTTTCTAGATTCCTTTTACTTGTAATGTATTACTGTGGTGGGGCGTGATTAAGGATGCCGTGCAGGTGCTCCCTGCACGGCATCCTTAATCACGCCCGCCTAGTAAAAAACACGGGAACTCAGGGTTTGTGTGTATTGTGGTGTGATGTTAAATCAATAAAATGGCTCTAGATTATGATCTTTGGTCCCGCCGTGCCTTATTCACACCACAATTACATACCCAACAAACATATTTCTGTCATGGTCTGGAGTCGGGTGACTCCGTGTTCAAGTTTTGTTCATTCAGTGTTCTGGGATTTTGTGGGGTTTTCATAGTTTTGTCTTTTGTCATGTTTTCATGTTCCTTACTTATTCTTTAGGACCGCTGTGATTTCCCAGCCTTTAGGTTTTGTCTGAATGCCTCCCTTGTGTTCCTTGTGTAGTGTCATGTGTACCTGGTTTGATGTTTTGACAACCCTATATAACCAAAAATCTTGCTTGTATTTATAAGATTAATAAAGCTTAGAGAACCAAGATTTTTTTTTTATAAGGAAATAGCTCTTGAAATTAACTCAGCTGATTTTAAAAAACAGGTCACAGCTTAGGATTTTGAATGACAAAAAAATCTTATTTTTGGAGTAATGTCTATTTAAAAGTTACTTGTCCCCTCCATGCTGAGGAAAGTGTGTCAAAAATACAGTCAGGCTCATGATGTGTCTCTGCAGTGAGTCGTTTGCTTTTGTTCTTGTACTGTGACTTGACTTGTGCTTCGCTTCTGCTACCTAAGTTGTTATCTGGGTTTTAGCCAAAAGAAGCTAACAAAACACTGCGCACACAGTACATTTACATATAATAATCCAAAGTGCTGCAACGCAGAGATAAAGATAATAAATAACTACATCACACAAAAAGATCATGATGCAGGAAGAAAGAAAAAGTTAAGCTGTATTTTATTGCCCTTAGGGATGTTTTAATATTTTTATTTCTATTCTTCAGGAAAGTGGAATTTATTTCTGTTACACTGGTCCCTCGTATATCGCGGGTGTTACATTATAAAAATAACCTGTGATAAGTTAAATCCGCAAAGTAGCCAACTTTATTTTTTATAATTATTACAGATGTTGTAAGGCTTTAAAACCCCTCACTACACACTTTATACACTTTTCTCAGACAGGCATGAACATTTTCACACTTTTCTCTCTTGTTTAAACACTCTCAAAGTTCAAACCTTGTATAAAAAGAAGTCCACCGTGACGATGTTTTGTCGACATTGTTGTGTTTGTTGGGGAGAAAACTTACAAACATACAATACAGCACTTCAGTGTCACACTGCTAGTGATCGAAGATTTATGTAAATTTGACAAGCTCAACACATTGTGTGCTGTACAGGAGACACGGCACGAGATTGATTGACAATGGTCTACAGCAAATCAGGACGCAAGCTGAACTGCGATATAGCGAGGGACCACTGTTTATGAATTATTTTTATATAGGCCTTCACACTTTTCTTTAATGCTACTGACTGCATAGATTCTCTTGTTTTGTGAACTATATATAATTTTTTCAAAGTTTCGATCGATATTCCTAGAATACCACAGTCTGCATTTTGTTTTGATTATTTAGTCTCATTTGTTGTTGCATTTTTCAATGTGTGAAACTTTGATAGCAGTCTGGCAACGTGAGCAACACTTAAAAGCATTAAATTGAGGTTACAGTAAAGTTGACTAAAGCTGATATCTGTTTTTTAAAAGAAAATAACAGATGAATTATTTAATTGAAATGTAAGTAACTGAATCTGTTAGTTACTGCTCATCATTAACATGAGGCTATTCAGCTAATAAATTAAATCTGTCATGAAAAATTCAAGACACTTGGTTAAATGTGATAAAATTAGTTGTTTTATTAGTGAACATTTGTAACAAAGAAACCGTCACAAAACAGAAGCAAAAGTTATTTGAAAGTTATAGATCTATTAATGTAAAAATGTAAGAGATTTTTTCAAGCTGGAGTAATGGACATATTCATGGGTAAAGTTTGAAATATAAACTGGAACATAAAGACTGTATTAGCATAATGGGAAAAATCACACATTATATTAAGCATACGTTACTTCATTTATATGTTAACAGTAAGCATTCAACAAAAACTCTTAAGAAGCTTTATGCTGTGCAAATACAGAAATCCAATCATGATGAACAAAAAGATTCTAAAATTTCCTGTTCTATAATTTTAATAATGAATCTCTGATGGCAGCTTGTAAAAGGGAATGTGAGTAGTTTCCTGGTAATATATGCTGATCCTGTACATCTGTGGATTTTAAAGGTACTTTATTGAGAGCTTAACAGAGGATGCAAAAATTCAGATATTTAATTTCTAACTCCTTTTATACCTTTAAAAAAATTGGTTTAGTGCTGTAGTTTGTGTGTCAGCTCTATTATCTGTTTCAAACCAATGTTACTGATGCTATTCAGCTGCTGGCTCTGCAGACCCAGTCGGAACTGTGACAGATGTGTCAGATGCTGTTGCTGCATCTGACATCATTCCTTTTGCTGCAGCGACTCCTGCTGCTGTTCCTAATGCTACTCCTACTGCTAAACCTAGACTTCTTTCTTCTTTCATAAGTTTTATCGCTCCACCAAGGAATGCACCCAGTAGAGCTCCTGTTGTAACTCCTGCAGCTTTAAACAACAGATTGTCAAACACAGATTGTTTTGCCTTTGTTGCAGTTTCCTCTTCCGTAAAGTCTGGAGATGACTGTTTGATGCGACCTTCCTCTTTTTGAATATCTCTCTTCACTTGTTGCAGCATGTCATTGGTGAAGTAGCCTCCTTTGTTTGCCTCAATAATCTTGTCAATGGTTTTGAGTAATTCTCCCACCTGATACCGGTTGTTCCTGTATTCATCTCCGTGGTTGTTCTTCCAGTATTTGTTATCAATGACGTGGCAGCGGCTCCCACACTTCTTGACCAGATCGCCCAGAGCTTCACTTTCATTCACAAACTCTTCGATCTTCATTCCCTCAGGAAGCTGGTCACCATGAGTAAAGATTATTATAGTAAATCTAAGTGCTTCATCTGAGAAATATTGATTAATTTTGTCTATTACAGCCTTTTCATGCTCTGTGTATTTCTCCATTTTAAGCACAATGAGAAAAACATGAGGACCAGGAGCACATTCTGTGATACACCTCACTATTTCAGACTTCATCTCCTCCTCAGGTCTGTCTGTGTCAAAAAATCCAGGAGTGTCAATAAAGAGTACCATTCTTCCACTGACTGACATGAACTTTGTTTGACATTCACTTGTTCCAGAATTGGGGGTATGATTTACTTTAAACGCAGGCTCTCCACACAGGGTGTTGGCAATACTGCTCTTTCCAGCTCCAGTTTTTCCCAGGACCACAATCCTTCTTGCTGACTCTATAAAACAGTAATGATTTGGTGTCAGTTATTTATCTATTACTCTGTCTAAACAGTGCAACAAAAATGAACAGTAAAGTCAAATAAAACATTTATGACAACATATACAGGCTATAGCTGAAAATGATGGACGTGTCTGCGTTCTTTTAAATGTAAATAAAACTGCATGAAGTTCACAAACCAGTCAGTAATTGGCTTAAAAATACAGTGGTACAGTAGAAAGAATGTTCATTTGTTTGACTGTTGTGTACAGTTCAGATCTAGCTGTTCAGATGGTGGATACCAACCAAATAATTTAGAATTATTAAGTCTAGCAAGCATATACTCTGTATTATTCTGCTATAATATTCAGATTTACACCCTTAAATATATTAGGTAATGTTTACACAACTACTTTAGGTATTGAGTGGAGTAGATAACCTTGACTGAGAAAAACAATCACTTTCAGTTGGATGGAGAGAAGTTTCTTCCTTTCTGTTTCCCATGTTTTTGTCAATTATCAATACATGATTATAACTGCAACTTACCGTCCATGTTTTTGAAAGCAAAATCAGCGCAGAGACACACGACTACTCAGATCCTGTGAACGTTGTGACTGCGCCTTTTGTTTTGTTTCTGCACCTGTTGGACTTGCTTCTCAGCAGCAAACTAAAGTGATGAGCTATGATGACCTCATAGTTTTTTTCTTTTTGTTTTTACAAACTTGGATGAGAGAACTATTGTGCATATCGAAATTTAGTAATATAAAAAAAACACAATTTTTCTTTAATTTTTTTATGTAAAAATCTTGACCAGCACTAAATTGTAACGCAAAGTTAAATATGCTTGTAGTAAATTTGTGATTAGCAAAAGAGGAGGTCAAAACTTTAGAAAAATGGTATTACTGTTCTAGAATACTATAATTAAAAGTATTATCGAATTATAAATACTGAAAAAGGATGTGTTACGTATTTGAAATCTTCTTCAAGCACCTGTTCCCTTTAGGGGTCACCTAAGCGGATCACTATCTCGCGCTAACCCTAACCCTAGCTTCATCCTCTGTTATACCAACTCTCTGCATGTCCTCCTTCACTACTGTCCAGCCACGGATCTTTTCTGTGGTCTTCCTCTTTTCTCTTGCCTAACAACTCCATGGTCAACATTCTTTGTCTATTATCCCTCAATTCAATTCAATTTTTTATAAAGCTCCAAATCAAAACAACATTTTCAATCAGATTCAGATTCAATTACAGCTGGCATCATTAACTTGATGAATAAATTATGTCTTTGTAGTTAAATAGCTAATTTGTTTTTACCCCTATGAGAGTTTGGTGACCTGTCCCGTCTGTTGCCCTATGACAGCTGGGATAGGCTCCAGCCTCACTATAACCCTGATTTGGATAAGCGGAAGAAACTGGATGAATGAATCCTTTTCTTTTTTCCCCTCTCGTTCTCTTTTTAGCTTGTTTTGCATTATGTTATGTAAAGCATGTTCCTGTTTTCAGTGCTTCCTTTTCTCACTTTAATCAATAGTTACATTCATTTTCATATTCAAAACCAAGGTCACTACAAGAGAGCCTTTCAAAGTCAAAGTCACCCTCTGTTTTCTCCGTTCTTTAGACAGAGACTTCCATCTGC